ATAAGAAGCTTTCAAAGTGAGAATCCCCCCGTTCCTCCTCCTTTCCCGACTCTATCATTAACTCCTGACACCCGCACTGCATTTTCCAGGTTTAAAGAAAGGGAGGACACAAAGGCAACGCTGGTGCACGCTCCTGTGCCCGGGGCCGCGTCCCTGGCCCCACCAAACACGACAGCAGATGAACCGAGAATGCCCCAGCGTAGTCAGTGGTTCAGCCAGCGCCCCAAAGAGCTCGACGTGCTCAGAAATATCGTGCCTGAGGTGGGTGGACGTGTGCGGAGACGGACACAGAACCTCTGCAAACCGAGGTGAGAGCCGAGTATTTTAGCTTCCGTGCTTCCCCCTAAATGCGTGGCTTCTGCAGCCATCCAGCCTGGCTGTAGGCAGGGGCTATGCAGAAGTTAGGGGCCCTTGAACCACCCTCCTATGCAAGGCTGAACCCTGCCACTGGAGATAACTCCCGGGTAAATATTTGTGACTTACCAATCGAACCACGTCTCTACCTCGGGGTTGGACTGGATGACCTCTAGGGTCCCTTCCAACCCAAAACACTCTATGATTCTACCTTCCTGATGGAACTAAACCAATAACGCTCCTGTAGCATCACATTTCCAGCTCTTAGATACTTCCATAGCGCTCTCTCCATTAACTCGGCAGCATCTCCATAGTCTTTTTGAAGGACGTATTCTTGACCTGAGCCAAATTTTGGCACTATCAGGTAAGATGTGGTAAGCAGCGTTTCTCTGGTGTGGGTGGCCAGGGCCCGATTAAGGTAACCTCTGCCACTTCAGCAGTACTCATCAGTGTAGTTCAACTCAGCAAGCAAGCCCTGCTGAGACGGGGACTGCTTGGCTCACACCAATGCTATCATCCGAAATGGCTCACGCTCCTTGTGAGGGGCTCTGCTGAAGACCCATAAGTCTCGTGATGACGTGATTAAAACCAACCCAACCTTGACTAGACTCGGAGAGGTGCACGCAGCCACCACAACCAGGCATTTTGCAAAGAATAAGGAATTGCAGAAGCAGTTCTCTCATTCCGTCGATGCGTGGGTATCCATCACTACGCCTTCCAGCTCTGCCTTCAGATAAACCGATCCATGTTTGCTCCATTTTCTGGGGAAAGAACGGGAAGTGAAAGAGAAAACCTTACTCTGGGATGGATCCCCTGGTGGAAGCTGGCTGACATGAGCGTGAAGGAAGGAAGCTGGATGAGGCAAGACCAACTGTAAAATGCTCTTTGGAAGGGAGAGGCTTTAGGCAGGATGCACCCTTTGCTCATACGATAATGTCTCTATCACAGGAATCAAATACATTTCTGGCAAACGCTCTTGTGCCTCGCTGCCGCCCTCCCCTTCTTTTTCAGCACTGGGGACATTCAAAGGTGGGCTGAGCCCCGTCCTCCCTGTTTTCAGGATGAATTCTGTGTCCGCAGACCGGCAAACACGTAACTTCTAACATTTCAGTCTGAGGTGCTTCAGCACATTAGGATGCGGATCCGAACCCCATTCCGCCCACACAAGGCAACCTCCGTGACCCTGCTATCTTTAATTCACACTGCCAAGACGTGACGGTGCCTCCAGCTAGGGAAATGAGGCCTTTAATGATAGTCAGTGATGAGCTCCTCCATCACGGGTTAACCTCGAGCAGGAGCAACTGCAGCAGATCTTGGGGAAAATATTGTGGGCAGACATATGTGAACTGCCAAAACAGAAAGATAAGAAGCTTTCAAAGTGAGAATCCCCCCGTTCCTCCTCCTTTCCCGACTCTATCATTAACTCCTGACACCCGCACTGCATTTTCCAGGTTTAAAGAAAGGGAGGACACAAAGGCAACGCTGGTGCACGCTCCTGTGCCCCACCAAACACGACAGCAGATGAACCGAGAATGCCCCAGCGTAGTCAGTGGTTCAGCCAGCGCACCAAAGAGCTCGACGTGCTCAGAAATATCGTGCCTGAGGTGGGTGGACGTGTGCGGAGACGGACACAGAACCTCTGCAAACCGAGGTGAGAGCCGAGTATTTTAGCTTCCGTGCTTCCCCCTAAATGCGTGGCTTCTGCAGCCATCCAGCCTGGCTGTAGGCAGGGGCTATGCAGAAGTTAGGGGCCCTTGAACCACCCTCCTATGCAAGGCTGAACCCTGCCACTGGAGATATCTCCCGGGTAAATATTTGTGACTTACCAATCGAACCACGTCTCTACCTCGGGGTTGGACTGGATGACCTCTAGGGTCCCTTCCAACCCAAAACACTCTATGATTCTACCTTCCTGATGGAACTAAACCAATAACGCTCCTGTAGCATCACATTTCCAGCTCTTAGATACTTCCATAGCGCTCTCTCCATTAACTCGGCAGCATCTCCATAGTCTTTTTGAAGGACGTATTCTTGACCTGAGCCAAATTTTGGCACTATCAGGTAAGATGTGGTAAGCAGCGTTTCTCTGGTGTGGGTGGCCAGGGCCCGATTAAGGTAACCTCTGCCACTTCAGCAGTACTCATCAGTGTAGTTCAACTCAGCAAGCAAGCCCTGCTGAGACGGGGACTGCTTGGCTCACACCAATGCTATCATCCGAAATGGCTCACGCTCCTTGTGAGGGGCTCTGCTGAAGACCCATAAGTCTCGTGATGACGTGATTAAAACCAACCCAACCTTGACTAGACTCGGAGAGGTGCACGCAGCCACCACAACCAGGTATTTTGCAAAGAATGAAGGTTTGAAGCAGAGTCTGAGTGACAATACCTTTCCAGAGATGTGTTTTGGTCCCACTGCGAGCCTCAGGTAGATCCCCAGGGGCGTGTTGGGTGGTTATGAAGAAGTATGCATTCTGCAGGCTGAGAGCCAGAGGAGCTGGAACGATGGAGGCAAACATTACCACCTGAACCTGAGGCAGCCTGTCCGATCCCCCCGGGTCCAGGACAAGATAAATGCCCCATTCCTTCTTTGGAATAAGCAAGTATAGGGAGAAGAAGCCTCTTCTGATGAGCTCTTGCAGAATCTGCTGGATGAAGCAACCTTTCCTGACAGGATTCTGAAAGTGGGATCCTTGAAGAGGGATGAGCCAAGACCTTGGGAAGAGGCAGGTACTGCTATGGGTATGGTGAGCGCAGATGATGGCATCTACCATGAATTTGCTGCCTGTGAGTTCCCACGATGCCTGACAGAAGATGACACTTGACAGTGAGATGATTTTGGCTTTCTAAAGGTATATTCTGGAGTGGTCTAGTGCCATTCCACACTTCTGTGAATGCCTCGCCTCTCAGGAGGAGCAAACTGTGGGCAAAGGATGAGGCAGTGATCATTTTGCAGAATCAGGGCATTTCTTTGGTGTTTATTCCATGTTTATTCCAACTTCTTCTCATAGCCTTTGCTGGAGATGGTATCTGTAATGTACATGTGCTACAGAGGTCTTCATCCTGAGCTACTTCGGTGTAGCCCTTGAGGACACGGCTTATTAGCATATAGAAAAGCCCTCTGCATTTAAATGGGAAGTCACCTACGTTTGCTTGCACGGTTTTCAAAATCCGAGCTGCTTGCAGCCAACTGGCACCTTGTTTGGTAATAACCATGACCATGGATCGACCCCAACGCTGCGGTGGCCTGTCTCGACATTTTTGTCACCATCCAGGTGTTCTTGCTGATCTCACTCTGCTCCCTCCTCCAGGTGTATGAGGCCTGAGTTAGCAAATGAGTCTCATGAGGCACTTTTTAAGCAAGTCTTGGCAGTTGACACTGCAGGGGGCGTAGAGGCAGACGACGTGCTGTACGCCCAAACAGGTCTGATTTCTCAGGTCTTTATTTCTGAATTACTTTTGGTCTACCTGATCTTGTCTTGGGCAACAGGCAGAAACAGAGACCTTGTTCCTGTATAAGTCCAAAAATGCTCCAAGCCAAAGGGTTTTGCTGGCTCTAAAGTCCTGTTGCTGCCCAGGGAGGTGGTTGAGTCCACCAAGATGGGTACACGAGGTGCTTAGGACAGGGTTTAGTGATGGGATAGTAGGGTTGGGTTAACAGTTGTATTTGATGATCTTAAAGGTCTTTTCCAACCTAAACGATTCTATGATTCTATGATTCTATCACGTCGTCATTGGTCAAAATACTGATCTTGGTAGCACCGCTGAAAAGCTATTCATGTTGCCCTTTGCTCACTGCAGTTTCTCCATCCAGTATTTCTGGGATTCTTGTGATCAGCCCCAGATCCATGCATACCCTTGCCCACATCAGAGAAGAGACAGGGTTCTTTAGTCACGTGCCTTTGGGACAGTCTCTGCTCACGAGAGGCATGCGGACCCCCGCAATTCACACAAGCAGAAGAATATGGGACTGGAACCCCAAAGTGGGCTCAGATTTGACTATTAGGTGCAGCTCTGGTCATTGCGCATCAAAAAGAAACGTTGAAAGAAGAAGGGGTACTGGTAAGGACAACAAGCGTGAGCCAGATTACCCATTGCCTCCTGTGCAAGGAAGAATTAACAGACAAGGGCTCCCAGGCTAGGAGCAGGCGGGGTATCTACAGCCTTCCATAGCGTGAAGAAGGTGAACTTTAGAACAAGAAAGGAAGAGCTTTCTTAAGCAGGTCGCATTTGTAGACCCCACTGGTGAGGGCTGGATTTACGAGGCAGCGGTCTCTCTAACACTGCAGACCAGGCAATAAAGTGATGAGCGCTGCGAGATGGGAGCAAGTGCAGCAACCAAGAGAAAAATTTTACTTCTCAGCTTGACTTAATGAATTCCTGCTTGCAATCGTAGCCCAGCTTCTGCTACCTGGCAGCGCGGGTGACAGGACACGATACCAGCATGAAATCCTTGTACCCCTGAATGGTCATGGCTAGCGGTCCTGTCATAATCAGTCTTTACCTTCAATGCGACTTCACCAACACCTACATACCATAAGCTGTTGATTTTCTTTCCCTTCATTTTTTTTTTTTTCATTTTCATACAAAAATGCTGTTCTGCTATTCCTTATCTCAGCAGTGCATTGTAAGGTCTATGTGGCCAAGAAAACAAGTCGAAGGGTCAGGTTATAACATCCACCCTCTGATTTTGGATTAGTGCTCGATATGGCATTTCCCTAGCATTTCCTGCGGTGTCCCCCTTCTCAAATCACGGCAATGGGTAGGCCAGGCCCTGCCCACAGGAGAACAGACGCACAGCTGGTCGGTTAGGATCTGAAGGATGCATCCTGAATGAGTTTCTGGATGTTGGTGTTTCCTTTGGATGTTGGTGTTTCCTTTGGATGTTGGTGTTTCCTTTGGTAAACCGTACTTGGGGATCAATGCTGGTACTTGGCAATAAAGCCAACACTTGTTCCACCTTCTCCTTTGCTCCATTAGCAATGAGGCAGTTGTGCCCATGCACTTCCACTACATCAGCAGCCGAAAAGCTTATCTATGGAGGCTTCACCTCCTCCAGCAGAACCACCCCGCAGAATACTCGGTGCTGGGATTCCATTTTGCATGAGCCTCTCTCCTGATATTTTGCAAAGAAACACAGAGTTTATCCACTTGCCATGGATAATCTGAGCTCAAGTTTCTCTCTGTCCCCTTCTTCCAGATCGGCTGTGATTTCTATAGATCACACAGTCGACACAATCTGAGAAAGAAAGAAATCTCCAAGTGGAAAGAAGCGGAGGAATCAATAGTTCCTGGGACTACGTCACTCCGCGAGACAAAAAGGCACCAGTGACCAGCACAGAATCTAAGCTCGTACTGGAAGAGGTGAGATGCTGGTGAGCCAGAACACAACGGGATGGCATCGGGAAGCTCTCCCTGCCAGACAGGTGAGATGGTCTTGAGGAATGTGGAATTAGAGGCTTTTAAAACGTGAATTATCCAGTTTGGATTCAGAAAATGGGAAAAGCTGGTTGAACAAAGAAGTAGAAACTAAGGAACGAGGTGATCACTACCCAGATTAACTGTTGCTCCCGCGTCGGGGGTTGCACCGTTCCGTTCTGTACGGCCTTTTACGCAAAAGGATGAGGAGCCTGCAGGAGAACCTTGCAGACGTTGCTACTCAGGCAGTGTCTGAAGCTCATCTGCACAGAGGACGTGTGCCTAAAGCAGCATCTTCTCTGACAAAGACGTGAAGACGACTGTCACCTGCACTACAGTGAGCAAACTTGGACCCCGAAGCAGAGGCAATGCAAAAGACCTTTGCCACAAGGTTGCTTGCAACCCAACAAGCAAGGAGATGTTACCGGTACGGGCTTGAGGACTGCCTACGCAACCCTGTAAAGGTTTGGGAATTGCCTGCTCTCTCAGCCTCTTTGCTCCGAATTCAGCAAAAGGCGCCTTTCACAGACCCAGGCGCATTTCATAGCATCCCGGAACAGCCCAGGCTGGGAGGGACCTCAGGAGATCATCTTGTCCAGCTCTGTGGGACAGACAGCCTGGATGGGATTCTCTAGCGCCTTGTCCCACTGCATCTTCAACACCTCCTGCCACAGGGACCCCGCCACGTCCCACATGGGAAGTCAGGTTGTGTGGCGTCTGCAGACGCTACATGGGGCGATTTACGGACTGAGTCAGGCGCCAGGTCAAACACACACGACTGAATTTTTTTTTTTTGCCTTGGGAAGTAGAAGGGGAGCACACGGATCCTTGCTTGGTTCTGTTTGAAGGACCACTGCTGAAAACGAGGGCTCTGGCTCGCCGCCCGAGTACCACCCTGTCACTGAGACAGCACAGCTCAGCTTCTTGTTCCTGGTGGGGAACCTTTACTCACTCACGGCTTTGGACAAGCCTCTGGTGACCCACCTTGCTACTCTCCCCAGCAAACCTTGACAAGAAAGACAAGTGCAAGCGCACGCTTCAACTAGATTTTTGCACTTCTACATTGTACGTCCCTACGACAATTCACACGTACGTAGCTATGGAAATGTAACCCCAGGTTCAACTCCAACCTCAGTGCCTCGGGGTAGACATGGGCGGCCGGCAAGACCTTTGGCAGCCTCCAGCCAAACGCCTCCAGCGGCACGGAATGGTCCTTGGTAAGCAGAGGAGCCTGTGATACAACAAGACCAGACTTTCTCGGAGCAGCTCTGGAGGCAATGCTCCATTTATAAAGAAACCCAAAAATCTCTCTAGTGGTCTTTAGATATTTCTTCAGCCACGCTCAGGTAATCACAACCATTCCAATAAAAGAAAATCACTCTTTCGAGAGAACAAAAGGAAGCGCTGCAAACAATTCCTTGCCTTACGAACGCCGCGTGCGTGCTCCGAAGCGGCAGCGCCACCTGAAATCTGTCCGAGGAGCCCTCGCGGTACAAAACCTGTGCTCGGCGTTTTTCTGCCTCTCATGGAAACAAACAAGCCAAGGCTACAAGGCACGCTTACCTTTTGGTTGGGGTGGGTGCTCCAGAGGACATGTGGGTCACCATGGTGTCGTTCATGTTAGCCAGAGGCCGGGGAGGACTAAAAGAGAAATATTTATTCCAGTTAAGTGCTTTATAAAAACAAAAAGGAAACAAAGCCAACGCTTGGGAAAAGGGCACCGCTGCGTGCTGCGGCAACAGCAGCAGAAATGGCTTTGCCCGGAGCTACCTGAGGAGCTTCGTCTCCTCTGGTCTAATTGCTTTCCACCATCCACGTGTTATGCTAAAATAAAGCCAAAACGAAGGTTTTGTTGGTCACCTAGGCCAGGTTGGATGGGGCCCAGAGAGGAGGTGGAGGCCCCATCCCTGGGAACATTCCAGGCCAGGTTGGACGGGGCTGTGAGGAACCTGATGTGGTTCAAGGTGTCTCTGCTCCTGCAGGTGGGTTGGGCTGGGTGGGCTCTGGGGGTCCCTTCCTACCCAAAACATTCTGTGATTCTATGATTCTATTTGGGTACCTCTGTTATTATGGTCTCCTCGGGTTTAATTTATTCAGGCCCTGAACATGTCTAACGCACGCTTCCATGTACCAAGGCATCATACGGCAGCGGCAGACGCCATCAGAACACAAATAAATAGCAGAGATTTGTGGAGGGCTTGAAAACAGGGAACATGAGAGTCCTCTGTGTTCAGCACAAGTCCCTTCGGAGCCGTTTTAAACAATTTACTCACCCACGTAAGATTTTTTTTACACAAATGTCATAACGTGAATTCTGCAGCTAAAATACCTTCAATGGCCTTACAGAAAGTATCCCAAGTTTGAGCGGGTCCTGACCCAGCATCTTGACAGCTACAGACTGAGCAGCCATGGATTTGCTCACTTCATGGCTGAGTTTTTATAGGATCATGGAATCACAGATCTGCGCGAGGTTAAACAGAGGGATTGGTACAAAGGAGGAGCAATCAAATCCACAGGGAATCCTGGCTCCGTTCATTGACTGAAAACCCCACCATAAATGATAAATCACGGCTGATAACACCTAGTTGCATAAAACTGTAAGAACAAAACCATCCCAGCTGGCATGACGGTCTGGTCACTCTTTTCTGATAAGACGTCAACTGGGAAAAGCACTAAGGTGAGACTGATGCCTTCTTCTGGGAACTCTTCTCTCTCCTATGGTGCTTTCGGAAGCACAAGTCATTAGCGTTCATCGGAATTGTTTGCTCCTCACGCCACATGCACTATTAGCGCTTTTTTGCTGAGGGTGCCCCTCCAGGTGAGAAAGACATTGGCTCTGACGGGCAGCCTGAGTTGATGTAACGTAACGTAATGAGTTGGTGTAACCCTTGCTCTCTGCCGCGCGCCGTTTTCACAGGAGCAAAGAAATGCCACAACAGCTCCCTGGAAGTCTGGCGGGAGGCTCCATGAAAAGCCACCTCAGAACTAATGGCTTCCTGCCATGGCGTGTCAGGAAGGATTCAAAGCAACAGAAGCGTGACCTGCTCTTCTCGCGCCGCATTCCTGGAAGAACGACATCAATGCGTTCGGATAATAGCCTGGTAACATGACCTGCTCTGCCCCAGCTCGGGTTCTCAGGAGAGGCCAAACAGATTCCTCCAAAAAACAGTCACCACTGCAGCTCCCTGCAGCCAGCACAGCCCCGGCCGTTAGTCCTGCAAGCCCCGGCCATTAGCCCTGCAAGCCCAGCCCCTTAGCCATGCAAGCCCCAGCCGTTAGCTATGCAAGCCCAGCCATTAGCCATGCAAGCCCCAGCCGTTAGCCGTACAAGCCCTGGCCATTAGCCGTGCAAGCCCTGGCTGTTAGCCGTGCCACCCAGTTTTCCCAGAAGACAAATGATGTGATGGCTTGAAGTGACAGGAGCGAGGTTGTGCCCCCAAACTGGATTCTTCCTTTCCTGTTATGGCAGCTGATTCAACAGAAGAGATGACCTCGCCCTTGCTGCTCTCCGGCCAACAGGGCTACTCACTGGTGACCACCGTTAGGTAACTCCATACACAAGGGTTGTATTGTTTCAACGTAAGGTTGCAAAACCACATTTTGCTCAGTGCATACCCATGCAAACACCTGACACAGATCACCCAGCCCGCGGCATGACGCGTTCCCGCCTTCATTTACGCACTCCAGCAACCTGTGCATGACTGTGATCAGACCCGCGCTGACATTGCTCGAGGAATGCTGTTGGGTGTTGGATGGAAGCACACCCTAGCCACTGAACTGAAGGGTTGCTAAAGGGTTAACAAAGACCTTTGTGAAGCCAACTGTAGCTAGAATATGCTGATAGCTGTAGGATGTGGCTCACATCGGGAGATGCCAACCTGCCTGGGAGCTTTCCAGATGGTATCTCTCTGTAACAGCATTAACAGATCCTGAATGGGTTCTTCAAGTCACTCTGAAGCAACCCCCAAGATCAGCGCAGAAGGACCAGGCCTTGCCACTCAGAAGTCAACTTATGACCATCTATGGAAGAAAGGCCTAGAGGTCATGGAAGACGACTATTGAGAAGCCTCTCCACAATGACCACTGGGAACCCCCAAAGACCACCGACTCAACTCACTGAGCATGCGTGATTGGGACGGGAATATGTAAATGAATTTTGGGAACTCATTGTCATACATATGTAAAACTTGTCTATAAGCTGTGCCACTAACCCTGTGCGACACGCACGTTAGGGGGAGCGATCCCCTGTGTGTCCAGTGCTGCGATAAAGAATACCTGCTGGATAGTCTGGCAAATTGACTATTGAGTCCTGATTTCGGCTTTTCATGGCTTCACGGGTGAGACCTGGAACCAAAGCATCTCAGTTTTGTCCGGCCTGCGCCCTTGCACAGAGACCAATTCTGCCTTTGGGGCCGGCGGCACAAGCGCTTGTGGGGCTGCTGGGCTGTTAGTGGTGCACAAGCTTCCGCAAAGGCCATGGCCACCCCAAGCCAGCCCGAGTCGGGGTCTGGCAGCCCCCGGTTCAGAAGCTGTGAATGCACGCATGGAGCAGCAGAGCTGAAGGCGCAGACCTGGAGTACGCGACACGGCGTTATTGTGGTGGAAACGAGCAGGTCACGCTCAGGGAACGCCAGGAGGAACCCCAGGCTCTGTGCTGGACAAACAGACATTTAAAAATGCGACAAATTCAGCTCCAGCTCATCCAAAGGGAATTTGCTGCTGCTGAAACAGAGCCAGGCGGCACTCGGGGATTTCGTGACGCAGCTTTTCAGAAAATCAGTTGTCGCGGCTTTGCCACGGGTGAACTGGTTCCTGAACCTGGGTCCTTGGGAGCAGCCCCAGACCAGGTGCCCAGGCTTCATCCAGCTGCACTGGAGGCAGAACCACACCAGCGCGGTGCGTGGCTCCCGAACAAGCCTAGACATGGCCACAGGGCAACGAAAAATACCTGTCGCTTCTTACCTCATCTCTCTGCTATTCAAGCGCCTGGTTGATCTCTGCAGGGAGCGGGGGAGAGCGGCTGGTCAGGATCTGCCTTGGACCTTGGTGGTGCCTTGAGATTTACCTGCTGGGAAGCAGCTCTGCCCAGAGGGACCTGGGGGTCCTGGTGGGGGACAAGGTGGCCATGAGCCAGCAGGGTGCCCTTGGTGCCAAGAAGGCCAACGGCATCCTGGGGTGCATCAAGAGGAGCGTGGCCAGCAGGGCGAGGGAGGTTCTCCTCCCCCTCTGCTCTGCCC